GTGATGTGCTAGCTGGTGAAAGGGGTCCGTCATACACCAGCATCGATCAAATAAAGAACACTAAATTACTGCACATAAGATTTCACTTTAAGCTGTCGACAATTATGACGAAGGCCTTGACAAGGAGGATCCACTTCTGGTGAGTTCCTCAGATTGTTTAACAAGTGGGACAGCAGCGAAAAAACCGATGACTGAAAAGGCTGACAAACCCAGCGTAAGGAATTTTACAGAAACACGAAGATCTCTAAACATAGATTCTCCGAAAAAGAAATCGACGCCTTCATAATTTCCAAAGTCAGTTCCACTGAGTACAATTCTCCAACTTGGCAAAATGATCCCTCCAAAATGTGATGAAGAAATTGTTGAGTTATACCTTGAAAAATTTTCCATTGATAAAAAGGAGTGGCTTCTTCCATTTCCTGTCAAGTTATCAGTAAGCAAAACATCTTTTGCTAGTGGAGCATTCAGAAATGCTTTTGAAGCCCAAGGAATTTCTGGTCTTAAAGGGAGGTACATGGTTAAACGTTATAAACCTGATGAGGTGAAGGCTATAGAAGAAGTATTTGGATCAGTTGATAATCACACAAGGAAGTCTGTACAAATGCACACTTTAGCGAAGTAATATGCATCAGCAATGGAGAAGGAGGTTTCCACTTGCAAAGAATTTGGAGAGACTTTCAAGTATACCAAAGTGTATTTGGGAAGAAGTTGTGATGGTCAACTTTTTCTGTTGAGCCTTATATGGAAGGAGAGTTTGTTAAGTATATAAATAATGATGGAGAAATTCTTTAAAAGGCAGTGAAATTTCTGCAAAGGCTGAAGCATTTGCACATTTTACATATGTAAAGTCACAAAACACAATAATGGTTTTTCATATCCAGGGAACTAAGTACTCCTTATATGACCCTGAAATAGCTAGTGCTAAACTTCTTGATGATACTACCAAAGCAGTTTTGTTCTGCTATGGTAACCTATCTACCATAGCAATAGAGAGGTTTTTATTAGACCACAAGTGCAACAAGTATTGTACACTTCTGGGCATATGTGTACTGTAGCAACTAAACATTCCAGGATGAATGGATTTAGAGACCAACTGTATTGTTAGATGTTAAGTTCTTTCTCAAATTGTTGTTTTTGAACCTTGTTAAAAGATAACTTTTACATTGACACTAGTTTTGAAAAATATAACATATTTACTGTTGTAGATCATAGTGTGCAATCATTCAAGTTTAGTAATTTCCACTTGTTAATTATGATACATGATTACATTTGTTAAGTACAGTAGCGGATTATAAATCATGGGGCCTGTAGGCTACGAAGAAATTGCGGGCCTTGGAGTCAGAAATCTATTCTCACTGGTACTAAATTTAGTTACCAGTTAGTTTTCATATTATTAAACTGCATGGCACGGCTAAGAAACAACTAATAATTTGTCGCTTCAAAGGAGGATTCAAACTTGCATCTTTGGGTTTCTAGAAATAGAAAGCAGCAAATATTCCAGATATTTATGAAACCCACGTGAATGCCATACTGGCTAGATCTTTATTGTAAAAACATACAGTTTTCCTATTACATCAGGCACCTTACAAAATAGGTTTGCGGCATTTACGATAGGCAAATTCTTTAATGATATCCTGGAAGTCGATTTTACGTAAGACCTCTGCCTCTATACACATTATAGATAAATTGTTCAGTTTCTGGTCTGTCATGGTAGACCTAAGCACGTTCTTAATGCGTTTCAATGCGGAAAATGATCGCTCTCCCGAACAGTTGCTCACCACTAATGTCAAATAAATTCAAAGAGCAATTGCAACATTTGGAAAAACTTCACGAATTCCTTTGTTTGCCAGCACACAATGCATTTGAAGCTCGACACTGACAGCTTTATCTGATTTATCTTCGTTGCAAGGTTGATACTTTCCTTTAGAATATTCTTGGAAATGAACCAACTCTTCTGCTAAAGATGGCTCCAAGTCTTTTGAATATTGCTCTATCAAGCATTTCGCTCCATCTTTCATGTTTTTGTATCGAGATGCAAATTGTTCAACAATTTGGTATAGGCTTGTAAACGCTTTTTGAGCTCAGCATAAAGTTTGTCCAAAACAGGCAAGTAGACTTCAACCCTGAAACTTTTGCTGGGACTGAATTCTGCTTCTTCAGCTGGACCATTGTTAAAAGTCAGTCTTACACTTCGCGTGTGCTTTCGACTTGTTTCCTTCTTGGAGGATTTTCCTTTTGAGCGCAGCTTTCCCTTGCTTTCAAAATCGTCAAACGAATCTCTGAGGGTTGCTCTATAATTCAACAATGATTCTAAGAGAGCAACAGCTTTATTGAGATCCAGATCGGCACTTTGTAACTTGATGGACGTCTTGTTGAATCTTTCAAGAACAGTTTCCCAGAGCTCCAATAAGATACAGTTTTCCTGCTTCGTTTTTTGTTGCTGGTTCTTCATTTGCATCTTTTGAAATAGAAATAAGAGCTTCATGAATGTTGCCGTAGCTCTTTTTAAATGCAGAAGTAGCTGCTGAATGAGCTAACCAGTGAGTATCGCAAAGGCGTTTTACAACTGGCAACCTGTTCGCTCAAAGCTCATTTAACAGAATATCCCAGCGATGAGGCGAGGCACTAAAGAAAGTTTACAATTTTTGTATGAGCTGAAAAAACAACATAGCGCCTAGGACACAGTCCACAGCACAATGTCCAACCAGGTTGAGCGAATGTGTGAAGCATGGAACCCAATCTGCGAGTTAATTCTTCTCACGAATCAGCGCCTGTAAACCACCGTACTTCCTGCTTATGTTACTCGCATTGTCATATGATTGTCCTCTACAATTTTCAATCCTGATGCCCTCTTGTTCAAAAAACCCCAAAACGGAATTAAGCATTTTCTTCGCAGTATGCTCCTTCATGCCCAAGAACTGAAGAAAGCGTTCAACCGGGCCATCCTCACCTACATATCGCAAAACACAGAAAAGCCAGTATACATGTGAAATATCTGGAGTTGAGTCAACTGTCAGAGAAAAATACTTCGTTTCCTTTACTTGATCAATAATAAAGTCTAGAACTTTCCGGCCCATGATCTCAATCAATTCATTACAAATTGTAGAGGAGAGAAATGACACTGACCCCTTACCTTTCCCTCCATATTTCTCAATATGAGCTGCAATGAAAGGATCAAACTGGGCCAAAAGTTCCAGTGTTCCCAGATAGTTCCTGTTGCAGACAGATCTGAAGAGTTCATTGTGTCCTTGAAAAGGAAGCCCACGTTCTGCCAAGTATTTGATTACTGCAACAACTCTTTCTAGCATGGCACTGGAATAAGCAACTTCAGCTTTCTGCTGCTCTAAAAGTTGGTTCACAATTCTTTGCATCAGATCTGTTGAACCTTGCAATAGATGCCACACGATGGCTCTGACTGTTTTCATGTCTTTCCATTCGGCAAACAGTCCAATCGCAATAACCAATTTCCAATCGCAATAACCAGTAACAGCGAAGACATTGTCATCAGGATATGCCAGCAACTTGCAAGTAAAACAAAATGCACAACCACGAACGTGGAATTTTTTCACCATTCAGCGAATGAATACGAGAAAATATTGATTTAGAAAACCGTCTCTTCTGTTTGCCGTCATTTTGAAAAGACTTGGAAAAATTTGCATCTGTATGCTGGCAGTCTTGTCCGCTACATACAATCCAGTACTCAACAAAACTATCTGGAAGCTTGCCATTAGGCCATAATCCGATGTCGTAATTCATAACAGTCAAAGATTCAGAATCGGGATTAAGTCCAAGCTGTTCACCTTAAGCGTCCAAAGTATTCTGGGACTTCTCAACAGCAGAAATACTGCCAGTCAAAGAATAAATACTACAATCATTAATTTCAGCTGCCATATTTATTGAATCAAAAGTTTGCAAGTTCATATGTTCTGCAACTTCTTTTGCCGGAGATGATAATGATTGTGTATTTTGAGTACATACAGATGGTGCAGCTGGGGTGAAAAATTTCTGAATCTTTGAAATCCGACTATGTTCAGCCTCTTGTTAAGGTTTGCGTTCCCTGCGCTCCTTTGCTTTAACATTACCTGGCTTGTGGTGGTAATTCATACTACGGAAAAACTACGGACAAATACTGTATAAAAAATTACAAACTTAATTTGAATTTTAAAGTACGAAATTTAAATCTCGAAAATTATTGAGATGGTCAGCGGACTTAATAAATCGCAATACTTCATGAGTTCTGAGTATCATGCAAAGAAATTAAACAATGTGTGGTGCGATAGATAACAGTTGAATAGTCAAAATTCACCGCTCGTAGTTCCTACGGTTTTCAAGAGCATTAATGGTCTGGATTAAGAAAATTGTCATCTCATAAAACAAAAGTAGTAAACACTGAAGAAAAATTGAACAAGCCTGGGCCTGTAGGCTTTAGCCTACGTAGCCTATTGGGTAATCCCCCACTGGTTAAGCATGAACCTATGTACAAACTTTATGCAACATTATTGCCACATTTTTTCCATACATACAATATGCAACATGGAAAAGGTAGTTTTGAAATGTAGAAGCCAGGTCTAGGTCAGTAATTTGATCAGGTTTGGGGATTTGTGATTTTTAAAGTATTTTATAAGTATTTTACACAGTTGAAGAAACTCCAAAATGTAGTTTTGATCTGATGAACAGAGTTCAATTTATTTGCTAGATTGGCCTATACCATTGGTTTTAATGGCCTCTATAATCGGCTTTGTGACATTAAATTTTATCATGTCCACACCTGGACTACACCCTCACCCCCCCACCACAATAATGTATCAAAATATATACAGTGAACACCATGCTCAGTCAATGCATGGTTCCAGAAAATATCCATAACACCCTCCCAGATTTCCAAAATGATCCACCCATCCATTAGTCTCTACTAATTATTATATATTACATGATTGGGAGAAGGGCTATGGATATTTTCTAGAACTGCACTATTTCTCACATCCTTTTAAGTTGTATGTTTATGTTAAATGTGACTTCAGGAACAAGTATGCATTTGCAGCTTGGTCAGGCTTAATTTCATCAGTATTTGGGATGTGCTCTTCACAACTTGCTCGGAATTCTACATCCAGAAAATCGTCTGTGTCTTCCAAAACACCAGATAACTTCGCAACTTCTTCCAAATGCTTTTCACTGAAAATGTAGCCACATTGCTCACCTCCATACTGCTCAGGGTGATAGTATATATAGTCAGGAACCCCACAAGGAAGTTGTTTGTTTTGCTGCTTTCTTCCACGATGAGAATTCCACACTGTTTTTCTAAAGATGTCTAACTCTTTTTGAACTACTGGAACATACACATATGCCAGCATATTTCTAGTAAGAAAGAAAATATAACTTATTATTCCTTTGCAGATAAATATAACTAAATGCTTACAAACTGGTCTTTAAAAAATGTTTCCAGTCTTTCTAGTAACTCTTTCCACCATTGTTCTATCTTGTTTTCGGTAGATGGGCCATAAATGACACAATCTGCTGAATATTCATCACTTTCATGCTTTGATAGAAGGTAGGAGTGCATGGTGGCCATATCCACCGTTTCAGTACCCTTATCAATGCGTAGCCATGTAGGCATAACTAAAACATTAAATACTATGCATACAGTATAATTGACATATATATACTGCAATAACTGCATACATGTAGTTTGATCAACTCCTAAAATCTTCAAAATTAGTCAAACTTACCCCTTGTTTCATACAAGTATTCCAAGTAATATCTGTCAACAATTTTTGGATTGTTGTTCGATGTCCATATCCTAAGGAACTGTATTCTGCCACTATATGTATCCATCCCTCCATAAATGCAAAGTGGAAATGTCTCTTTTTGCTACCCACATAGTTTATCATGGCCATCAAGTGACATTGTCCACTCTGAACCCTTGAAAAAGATTAAAGAACAGATGTCTGTTATAATAATACACTAATTGTATCTCATTTAATAAATTGTACCAAGCAGCAATCTGCAGCATTAGGCATCAGTAAGTATAAAATTCGCATCAACTTTTGCATTTCACACTGCGGTACTACCTCATATGTAAATGCATCTTTTCGTGCACATCTTCTTCCTCCAACACCAGCTCTTTCTTGAAGACCAACAGGATTTACTTCTGCCATCATAGCATACACTAAATCTCTTGGTACCTTTAGACCATGAATTTCTCTAATCTTTTTATGTAAAGCACGATATCCTAGTAATTTACCAGGACCCTTCATTTCCTCTTCAACAACTTGATGCAAAAAATTTAGATTGGTGTCATAATCTTGATACTTAATATCAAAATAATTCAAACGGCGAATTAATGTTCGCAGACTCCATGCATAATTTGGGTATTTGCTAGAGACAAAATCTCATATTTCTTTTTTTTTAAGGTTTTGCTTCACATAGTTTTCCAAATCTTGTCGTAATTGGTAGTTGTTTCTCCAAGCATCGTTTCCCAAAACTACCATAGCCATGGTTTTAATACCCGGTTAGATTAAAAAGCTTTTCAGATACAATTATATGAAGTATATTTAAACAACCACCAACACATATTGCATGCTCGTTATCATGTTACTTACTTAGACCCACAAAGCATCATGGGCTATGGCACTTATAGGCTGCTTCAAATTTTTTTTTTTTTACACTGGCACGAATAGGCTTGAGAAAATTTTTTTTTTTGGTTATTTTTTTTCAAAAAAAATAAAAAAAGTGAAAGAAAAACAAAAATATAACTTATTTTAAAGAACATGTAATCGAAAATATTTATGGCCCTCCTAGGCCACCATACAGGAGGGACCCTTGTTAGATATAGAGAGATATATAGACATACATATAGAGAGAGATAGTCAAATATGGGTAGCAAAGTAATATACATAGGCATACATTGGTATAGATGAGAGATAGTGAAATATAGGTAACGAGGGTAGGCAAAGGTAGCAAGGGAAACAAAGTAATATACATAGCCATATATTGGCATATATAGAGACATGTGTAATGTTTAAAACCACACAAACTGCGAAAACCAGCGCTGCAGCTCGACGTGCAGTTATACAGGGTGTATAAAAAAATTAATCCAACTTTGGCGTGCTATTGTACATAAACTACTCATTCTATTAATGAAATGTTTTCACATTCGAAAAGGTTAGGCTTTTAACTATCGAATGACATGTTTTTAATACCAAATGGTTAAAAAATTAGCTAATAGGAGGCTGATAAAAAGCGTTAGCCAGAATCACATATTTTTACCTCTGAGGGTTGGGACCATTAAAAATTAGCACCCTTTGGGACTTAATTGAAGCATCGCCAACTATTCTGGTCATGTGTAAAACATTTTGGTCAGCAAATTTCTCTATTAATAGTATGAACTTCGTGTAATTTTGAAAAATTTTTAAAATCCAATATGGCAGCGCGAAAGAGACCCCCAGTAGACTACAAGGAGTTGAACAATTTTTCTTCAGTTGTATTGTATGATACCACTCCAAAAAAGAAGCGAAAAACCCTTCCGTCCACTTATAAGGTTGAAAGGATAATTTCTAGGCGAAAAATCAACAATGTAAGTACCAAATTAATGGGGAAAACGTTTTCTAAATTTTCAACTTTACGCTATTAATACTTGCTATAATATATTTAAAGTTATGCTTTTTATGACTTAATCCTTTAATTGATATTGTTCAGGGGCCGGTTGTATGAAAGCCGGATAGCGCTATCCACCGGATAGTGATTTTTTCAACCGTTCTAAAAATGCTTAAAAAGCTATAAAATCACGGCTTTGGAATTAAATATTATTAAGAGGATCCTCGACTTAGGAATACTAAGATTTATTCAAAGTTATACCTAACAACAGGTGATTTAAAAGCGATTGAAAAAACCACTATCCGGTGGATAGCGCTATCCGGCTTTCATACAACCGGCCCCAGGATCACAAATATCTCATCAAGTGGGATGGCTGGCCGTTGAAATACAGTAGTTGGGAGCCTTCACTTCATCTTACTGCAGATTTATTGAGGTGAATATTACTAACTATTTATATGTTGTCGACAATGTTGCATAACTATGAAAAAGATTACTCTGCGTAAAGCGCTGTGGTCAACAGCAGTAGCACACAGCGCATAATATATTAGCAGGTTAATGTAAATACGCCATTGATAGAAGTTGTGTAATTCACAAATGACTAGGATTTATAATGGACACATTAAAATTTGTCATTTATCTATACTTTTAAATACTTTGAAATTATCTATACATAGACGCTATGAAAAACCACCAAGACCAGATGCAGAGAAGCTACATGAGGCCAGTCGGCAGTTTTATCAGGGCATTCTTACTAGCTTAAAGTCAAAGTCGACTAGCCCTATGTATGTTCCCATGCAACACGATATCTGGCGCTATGTCGCTTATGGCAAAGGTACTGCTTCTAATCATGCAGGATTCTCACTATATTGCATCTCAGACTTGTCCCGGTTACCACTTCCGGAGCATTAGTGGTACTTTTTGAATAAATCCCATGGAGAAGGGTATGCAATACAGTTTCTCATGAAGATAAAACCAGTGCTTAGTTGGACATTTCCCCACAACATCAAGAAAAATAACAAAATCATACAAGCACCTCGATTGCCAATAGAAAAACTGAACATTGATATACTAAAACGCCCTTGCAATAATGAAAACATTGGGGTATAGTTACATAATTAATTACAACTGTTACTCTAAAGCAGTATTGCCCAAGGGTGTCTTGGGGGATGGCCAATGCTAGAATTGACCCCTGCATCTGACAATAAAAATAACAAAGATATTAAAATTGTAAGAGGTGTAAACATCTCCATAAGTTTCTACTGGTTTTTTAGTGCATCTCTGTACATTTCTTGTAGACGTGTCAACTTCCTGACTCGGGTATGAATGCCAAATCTTTTCAGGCCCTCCCGTAGTTCAGCTGCTGACATTTTGTCAACATCATCTTGGCTGCTTGAAGCATCCTCATCACTTGACCGTAGCCTTCGAAGTTTTTGCTTTGCCCGCTTTTGATTAAGCTCACAGTTCCAATAATCATAATTTCTCTTCTTGTATTCCCTTCATGTACGTTCATGTCCACTAAGCATTTCAATTCGTTTCATAACACGTAAAACATCTGCAGCAGCGCCCCATTTGTTCGATTTATTCAAATGGATCCTTCGGCAGTCGTCGTTGTTTTTTTCAATACCTGCATGTAAAGGTACAGTATTAATTAAATAAGCCACTATATTATAAGGGACGTGAAACAATCATAAACGTAGACCGTGAACAAGGCTGTGGGTGCTGGAATTGGCAGTCATTTATACTTACAGTATTATATTCATTGGCAGTCAAACTAAACTTAACCCATTTACTGACAGTACTCTACCACTGACAAGTAAAATAGTGTGGTATTGGATAGAGTAAATACTAAACTTTAGCGCATTTAGGCCCATTTTCAGTTGATGGGTTAATAACCTCACCTTGTCCGGTAAATTTTTTCATTCCACCGTGCATCCGCATAAAGCCAGGTATATGGTACACCATACAATGCATGTAAGGGGTAACATTTGCCTTTGAATATCCATCACATATCCCTCCTGCACCTTTAAGTGAAGTGAAAAGTGATATCCACTTCCTAGTCTAAAATATAAGTAAAAAATTCTCTATTTGAAAACAGTGCAAAAAATAGTTTTGAGACTCAAGTGTATGAGGCCAATTCTCTCTGGGGCGGGTGGGGGGGGGGGGAGGATTGTAATGAAACTGTCTGGATTCAGTATTTTCTGATAAATCTGCTCAAATTTTCTTGATTTTACCTAGCATTTGCCCAAATTTCAATGGTTTTCCTTTTTTTTAGTGGGGGGGGGGGGGGGGCTGTCTTGTATGCTTATGTTTTGAGTGATTTATAACTACATTATTACAAAAAATTACCTGTTCAAATGTAGTCTGTGATAAATTCTTGCTGGTGTCCCTTGTCTCAATCATTGTGTAGAGTTTGTTAAAATCCTAACAATGCACATAAATCAGATTGGTACATCAATGTACACATATAGACTGCACGCAAGACTATTCCTTATCCAGTAATAATTGTCTGGTATTTGACGACACCGCAGAAATTGGTTTACGATCACGTGGGTCAGCGGTATATCAAACATTTAAAGTCCGAGCGGTATTTTTGAAATTTAATTGTGTTTACATTTTCAATATGAAACTTTAAACAGTAAATCAACGATAAAAACTGAGCAAGAAGTGTAAATGTTTAAAAAATATTATTTCCTCAACTAATGAACCTTAATTTGTGATCATCTTTAAGAGCAAATACAGTTGTTTTCAAAAAATATGCCAACTTCATTACGGCAGTCAAATTAGTAAATAATGCCGTGGGGACTATCATAAAACTTATAAGTGGTGGACAATCGCAAAACTTAGCCGTATTTCGCAATACTTAGACTTTAAACTTAGTGACCAGAAAGTTTATTAAATACTTGAAAAAATATCTGTTGCACAAAGTATTTGAAACCTGCACACAACAAAAACTAGTCGTCTAAAGTTGCCGCTGGCGTACCTGGTTACCACTAGCGACGACATCTTTAGTTTGAGAAGCCTTAATTCCGCTATGCTGTGTTTTTTTTCAAAAACAAGACAGTCTTCAACAAATTGCAGAGGTACTTTGAAACGAATTAATAAAGAAATTAACAGAAGTGAAAGAATTCCATTAAATGACTATCTTTGTCATCACCACTACGATGAAATTCGTCGTCGCGATAACACACGATGTTCTTGTCCTTCAACTTGGGGTCATTCAAAATCACTTCATCAACATCCTATTCCCTCGAAATATTACGAAGTTTTAGACAAAGTTGGCGAAACAGTTAGCAATTACGTACCTGGCACTCGTTGGTGCAACAAATGCCATAAAACTGCTCCCAAGAGGTTTTTAGAAAATTCAGAAAGCAATTTGGCAAAGATTCAAAAAGTAAGTTCTAGATAATGTTTAAAACCCATTCAAATTTGTATCACTTGGCATAGAAACCTCTTTGAATTTCATTACTGTAAACTTTCATAAAATATAAATATCATACAGATAAATGATGATGTGTTATATACGGACAAGCAAAGTGAGCAAGAAAGTGAAACGAATCAGGTATAAAAAGTTGACAGAAACCTCTTTGTCTTTGAATTTCATTGCTCTAAACTTTCATACATTGTAAATATTATACAGATAAATGATGATGTGTCACATTTGGAAAAACAAAATGAGCAGGAAAATGAAGCAAATCAGGTATAAAAAAATTGATATGAACTAATTGCATAAAAAACAAGAAAGTGATAAAAATTCTTGTAGACTACCAAGTTTTTCTTATGCACTTTTTCTCATTTAGGAAGATGGAGAGGCTATGTCTATGATAGAAAATGGTACATGGGCAAATATTCAGTTGAAGCTAAATGGTATGCTACACATCAATAACCCTACTGTGCTGAAATAATTTGTACTAAATATTTAAAAATAATATTCAGAAATGACAAAATGAAAATCTTTAGTTTGATGCAATACAGCTATTACCGTTATTCTACATATGAATGTTTCTAGAACCATCTTTTGAGGAGAGCTTCAATAGGCTTAGCGATAGGGTAAATGGATGCACTGACAAAGAATCCCTGGTTGGACATGATAACATGAAAGCTTTTGTATTGTGTCACGCACCCACTGTTTACTACACACTGCTGAACAGCATTACAAATGAAAGACATGGAGCCAAAAGAACATTCCTACAAGAAAAAAGGGTTACATCATTAATTTGGCATTTATTGTATTTCAGGTACAGTTTTGAATATAACATACACATAAATCTATTCAAGCTGCCCATATTGTTAAAGTAAAGAGTGCTGATAGGTACGATAAATGACTTTAACTTTAATTCTAATGCCAAACAGAAATCAAAAGCATGGGCAATTTCAAGATGAAAGTTCTATCTTTTTGGAGCTTCATGGGCTAACATCAACTGGTATGTCTGCAGGAGCAACTTTAGCATTTTCACGAAATCCCAAGACAAAAACTCTAAAGAAACATCAAATTTCCTGTGCTCATATAAAGAAAGTACAAGAAATATTAAGTCATGCAATGAAAAAGGTATCGAATCACACATCTTATCTTACATATATATAATACATGTATCAGATACTGGCCATATTTAATTTTAGATTCACAAAGTAACATTATTTTCCTTTCATTTGTTAAAGAAATCATTTTTTATCCTGATGATTGACGACTTTCACAACATTAACACCATCAAGACTCCACAAAAAAGGGAACTTTCAAATGCAGTACATATGGCAACTCTGCTCATGGACATACAAGACTATAAAGCAGTACCAAAACCTCCTCAAAGTATTCATAGAGAGGTACAGGTACAAATACCTGGAAAGGAACAACCACAAATTTGCAGAGGTGGCATAAGTGATGAAGCAGTAATTACAGAATTGCAAAATATTTGGGCACAATACTCCCTCAATACATTTTTGGAATCCTTACCAGACAATTACAAAGAAATAAATCCAAGTTTGCTACAGACATCACTGAAGGAGCTTAGGTAAAAATTACACAGTAAAGTATTTAAAATACACAGTAGTAAATACTGGTACCTACAGATTAAATATGTTAATTTTTGTTTCAGAGTTTATGAGAGACAAGACATAGAAGAATGTCAAACTCTAAAATCCTGTGTATTAATTGATGAAATTGAGAAAGATCTCCATGGTCTGGAAAACTACCAAGAAACACACAGCTATATCTCTGAGGCAATACCTGAGCTAAAGCCCTTTTTGGAAAGTAACGTTGTCCCTGTTACTGGTGATTGGCCCACTTGGTATTTTCATAAGAAAATGGTATGTCAAAATAACCCAGAGTCACTCACATTGGTTCCAGAACTTGGTCAGTTCCACATCTACCTCAATGGAATCGAAGATGTTATTAAACAATATCATTCCATTTTCAATGAGATATACAAAGCTGTTTTTGGTCAGAAGAAAAGCCTCCCAGAAAACCCTAAACCAGACAAAATCACACTAAGCTCAACAATCACATTTGCAGGGTGGCTCCAAGTTCGCAATTACATAATAAAAGCTTTTGAAGAATGCAAAGATGTTGAATATACATGCCTTCATCACCTCTTTGATGAATTACTTCCATTAAATTTCCTCCATTATCCTGTTATTGTAAGAAGTGGAAATTTCAATAATATTCAGGATTCCATGAAGCGTCTTTGCCTCATGTTCATTACAATGGACAGACACCATTATAACAAAGCAACCTTGTCATGGATCAGTGACACACAGCATCAGAAGAATACATGTCCTGAATATTACCAAGCAAAACAAAACTTGTGTTCAGTTCTCACAGAAAAAAAAGTAGAAATTTTTCACTCCAAGATCAGAAGCTGTATAAGCAAGAATGACAAGGCCTAGAAAATACAGGAAACTGCGAGACTGCTGGCAAGATCCAATTTTGCAAGCAACTTGTTTGAGCAAAGTTATATAAATCGGTACCAACATGGTATCAGTAATCAAAATTTGCTTCATTTGAGTGGTAAAGTTTTTTATGCATATTCAAAATAGTTAATAATACTGTTACTTATTTTTAATTCATATAAATCATTTTTCAATTTAGGCTTGGCAGCTGAGTGCATACTCCAAATATTTGAGCGGGTTGCATCAAATCTAGGCAAGTCAAAGCGATTACCAAGAAAACTGAATAAGGCTGGAAAACCATATGGGAAATCCAATTACTATCTGGCAAGTTTTCAAAAAGAGTTCACTAGAAAGAGCCTACCTCTTGGTTACAGATGGCCATCCTCTGAACCAGATCCCAATCTTGAGTGTGATTCAGAAAAATGTACATTGCCAGTAAATGAATCTACAACAAAGCGTCTAACGTGTGGTCACACATTTCATCTTGCTTGCTTAGGCAATACTGGCTGTTCCATCTGTTTTAAACATTTGATGCAGGACATAAACAAGGTTTCCGAAGCTTGGAACCTTCGCCTGTTGGGAAATGATGTTCAAGATGACAACGAAAATAACGTCAACCCTGATACAGCCGAACATGATACTGATGATATCGGTTCGTTGATCTCGAAGTCCACACGATGTTCCAAAGATCCAGATTACGTCAAATCCGAAGTTTTTAAACAATACCTCGCAAATAAGGCGTCCAAAATCGCAGAGCTTCTCAGTAAAACTAAGGGATCGAAACCAATCCAACTCGAAATCGAAGAGTAAACACATTTGGCAAACTAGTAAAAGTAAAATGTCAGAAAGCCGTAAATATCTAATATGTAAATCGCAATCATTTATATCGAAAATAATAAGAATAATAACAACAAAAAAATTTGAAATATTACCTTGTGGCTTGTGTATTTCGCCGCTAGCAGACGATTGTAACCCCAAAAATTAAACATCTTGTCTAAATACAAAACTGAACGTGCTCTTTCGCTTATTTTAAGACTGTTTACTGCACCGATCTTCTTTTTTAAGCTCGCAAAAACCAAAAATCTCGACAGCAAAACATGCAAATAACAAACCGCCATTAAAATGTTCGAAATCGGAAATGATGTCATGAAAACCAATTTCTGCGGTGTCGGTATTTGACAGAGTAAACAATAAGGCGGGGGCACATTTGAGTGCATTGCAATTTTTGGAATATATCGGTCCTACCAGTATACACCAAGTATTCAACATGTGAATGACCATGCATTTTATAGGCAGACTACATGATTCCTCAGGAATAGCACATAAAATATGCAATGTGAGTTCATGGGGGTAACTAGAGACATTTTCCAATTTTGTGGTTAACCCGTGTGGCTTCCCCACCGACAAGTAAAATTGTCTGGCGTTTGTCAAAAAAATGAGCAAGGCGCATTGCGAGTTAATGGGTTAAAGAGTTTACTAAGCTTACACATATACCTTCCAGATCTTTATCACATCACTTGTGCCCGACTTAAGTATGCCATTCAATTTTTCAGGAAGATACTTCAAGAGCAGCTTTTTATCATTTCCCATTAAGCTAGTGAAGTCAAATATCCCACTCCCCTTGCCATCTGCATCTTTTTTTTGCCACACTTGAAAACAAACGCCACAGTCCTTTATAGCACCTATTAGGGCATCTAGGTGTGCAGTTGTCCTTTCACATGGGCGCTTATTGTGATTATCTTCCTTGTTCCAGTTAATTGCAGCTGTAACCAGATTTTTGGTCAAGACATCTATCAGAGCACAAACACAAGACATGAATTGAATGATTGTTAATATAATTAACTCAAAAACATTTCAACTAAAAAGTTAAATGTGACTTATACTGTACAGTACAGTACATGTATTTTGATTGAAAAATCCAGCCCTGGAAAAATGAGAGGAAACACTTTTCCTAAGAAAATATTTTAGGCGGTCACTGAAATTAATTCAGTGACTGTTCAAATATCATGCAGCATAGTTAATTAATCGGGTCTGACTACATCATGGGCATTCTTTGAGGGCGCCCGCAGTAACTTTGCAACGCGGATATATTTGAATACCACGAGATACTTGATGTAAAACGGTACTATGAACTAAGGGTTGATTAGGGTCATTTAGGTTATTTTAAGCTCTGCTCTGCAATGCATTAATCCATAAATTTAAAATACCACTCTTGGATAATTTGGGTTTACCAGCGCTGTTTTCTGGATTACCTTCAAAGATAGAGTGTGTGTTGTGGAAAGGTCTCCTCGACAACCTATGAAAAGGTAGGGTTGCCAATATTTTCGTTTACGCAATGTGTGCATGGAATGTTTTTTAATTACAATCCTCAAAGTCAAAGTGCTATTAAAATATCTTTGTCATTTAATATCCTTCTTGCAGTAGAATTAATATATACAAAGTATTCCCTTAGTATATACAGTAAACATTAATATATCTCTTTTTTACCAAACTATTTTATTTTAAGTCATTCTCCAAATTCCTAAAAACCTGGCAGGAATTTTCAATTTTCCTTAAGGACAGTAAAACATATCCTGTAGTGCTTCACCATAGTTTAGGTTGAGACAGCTAGCATGGAAGAATTGGCGGCAAGCATCACAACCAAGCCAATCTTCTCCCCCATCATCCTTGCAAATTTTGCAGCATGAATCATCCCTTCTATATGGAAACAAGCATTATACACAAACAAATGAAATATAGAATCAGATTTTTTTACTTTTAGTATATGAATATTTAAGGAGTATTTCTACAGTGAATTGTGACTCATTTTGTGTACCAATCTTAATTGTTGGATCATTGTGTTGCTTCACAGTCAATGGAACTTCAACATGGTACTTACTGATTAATGTCTTCATAACAACTGCCGAAAAGGGATGAGGCAAGCTTCTGCCTTTCTATCTCGACATTGAATGGCTGATCAAGTGCTTCTCCTTTGGTTATACAATGTGCAAACTAGAGTGTCAGATTAGAAATGTGTTTAAACATAATATAAGTAGTCCAGCTATTGCAATTTGAGCCAGCTAGAGATTATTATTATATACAAGCCATTGAGTATATGTGAGAAAAATCATGATTGTGACCTTGTTAATGGTCAGTGTATATTCAGTGGCTATTATCGAAAGACTTGAATGCACTATATCTGGTTCATTTATTTCATATACCATTAATGCAAAATTAGAGAAACCTACAAACTATAATATACTTACAAGACAAATAAGAACACCACAGTTATAACTGTCTGTCTGAAGAAAATGCTTTGGTTCAATACATATCCATTCTTTAGTTTTCCAGCCAGTTTTTATATCCACAATAGTGCTAGAAAATTTAATTAGTTTACATAATACATACATTCTTTTTGGACTGCTTGGCATGCAATCAAGAAATTTACCATATGTTGTCAATCAGCAACTTAAGCGATCCTGTTATTGTTCTAGGCCACTCATAGGATCAATATACAATCTAACAGATTTCTCCTTGTCAATAGCCTAAAATTTAATGCATAATAAAAAAGTGAGAAGACAAAACATATATTTCCATCATACAGTACTAACCACCACAAATGCAGACATGCAGCAGCACATTATCTCTTTAATACCGTATGCCTTAGATAATAGCTTGGCACAACTGAATGTCTAATGAGTTATACCAGTATTGTCCAGTGCATTCCACCAAGGTTCATTGGAATGAAAATTTTCTTCACAGACCAAAGTGTTCACCTATCCATAGTCTCCTAGTGCTTGCCTGTCGTTGTACCAATTGACATAGAGTTGCATCTGCATAAAAGGTTTCTGGGTGTGAACAACGTAGCTTCCACAAAAATGCTTCAATGACCTATATATGCAGAGAAAAAATAGGAGAAAATAAATCTGGAAATATATAAAGTATACCACTATATGCTGTTAGGAATACAACACATAAGTTAATATATGATATATTAATTTAATGAAGTAAAAATTACTGTGTGTACATATATGCACTTTTCTCTATGTTCATGCTTACTATTACCTTGTCTACAAGCCAGCCACAAACAAAATCTTTATTGTCCACTTTTGCTAGGGTTTTGAAGCTGCTGTTATATTTATTTGGTGGAATTAGAGTACACAAGTCAGAAAGATTTAGTGTCGAAGGCCCATATTCCAACATCCGACTGTCCTTTTCAAATTGGTTGCTTTTGCATGCATAGATGATACGCTCATATGGAGCATAGGGACCATGTTCATTAGTGTCATAGGTTTGTGATTCATCATTTTGATTTACACTTTGATGATCATTGGTAACCATCTGAGAAGCACACCTAAAAGAGGAATTTTCTATTTTTCATTTCAGATTGCATAAAGTGATTACCTAGAAATTACAGTTATCTAAATTTGGGATTGCTCATTGATAATCAACAAATGCTGTCAATTATTCAGTACTTACTTGTCTGTCTTTGATGTGTTCAGTTCTGAATTATTATCAGAACAATCATTATCATCAAGCACATCCACAGTAAGATCAACGAAGGGTTTTTCCTCTGCAACATGATCCTTTAAAATGAAAATTTTTATTTAAAATACATTAAGCAGCATTTCAGGTATATTTTTCCGAAAGGTGAAAACAAAAAAGTGCATATCAATCTTCAATAACTCTTTAATAACTGACTTTCTTCAAAGCCTTATCTTTTAAACAGAATTCTGATGAAGTATCTACTGTTTTCTTTCTTTTTCGTCTGAGAGATAGTTTTTTGTGGAAAACTTTGTGGTAATCAGTGCTTGTGATTTTTAACTTCTTCTTTTCAGGGCTTCCCCGCAAAAGAAGACCCTTCTCTTTTGGAGATGCGCTCTGAAGTTTTACTCGAAGATCGTCGACGATGGCAATTGCATTTTCCAATAGGTTCAGGTTCTCATTATCGAGTAAGTAGGAGATATTTTGAAGTGCCGATAGTTTTTCTCGAAATGTCTGCTTTAGTTTATCACATCGTAGCGACTCAGATAATGACGTGGATGTGGCGTTGATGTGTTTTTCTGTTTCGAGCCTGATTGGCGCTGCTGTTTCAATGCTGGTGTCTGTCAGCCAGTTGCTGCTTAAACGAGGTTGTGGGGGGTGACGATCCGTAGAGATTTCTGGGTTGATCAGCACGCTATCATTATCGAGTGTGATAAACACGCTGTTGCGGTAGTCTGGCGGTAAATCATCAAATTGCCAGCTGGAAAAGAAGTTGAAAATTGCAAAGAAGTGCTTGCACGGATAGTTGGTTCGCCTCCAGCTCTCACATGCACATCTTGGTATTGCTGTCGAGAATTGCCCCCTGATCGTTCTCAACACAATAAGATTTAGTTTTCTTTATAATATTAAACGTTAGTATCACAAATTCACAATAAAATCTCTCACTAATCACACCACGTTGTCTCAAGTTCTCAACCTAAGTTTTCTTATATAACAACAACTACCGGTATATTCCGGAACTTTCCGACAAGGTTCAGTTCAGACTCGCGCGTCCCACGCGTAAACAAAACATAATATATGACAGTTTTCGACACCCTCCCCCCATATAGCTTATAAAAGATATATGTTCTCTTAAGAAACTTTCACTTTAGTTATCAAGTCTTAATGTCTCAATGTTCGAAGTACTCTTAGAGTTCTTCACTTTCGATTTTGGCCATTTCCTGGATTCTGGAACGTGCTACCACCGCAGCGTCTCGAGTTGGTCGGAAGACAGGGGCTGTTGGGTTAAGAGGTGGAGGGTCCTTTTGACGCTGACTGCACGACAACTCCAGAGGGTATAGGTGATTTATCGCTCTCTCCAAGTGGCCATTTGAAGTTTTCACTTTTGCTGCCTGGATGACACCATCTCTACCTGGAAAAAGTTTTTCAACTATGCCCAATGGCCACTTTCCTCGGTTTCTTTCATCAGAAGCGATGATTACAACTTCTCCAACGGACAACATAGACGGCTTCCCATGGTGTTTCATGTTGTGCTTCTCTCATAACGCACGTAGATATTCGGTACTCCATCTTTTCCACATATGATCCTTGCATGTCTTGAAATATCTTGCTCGTTTTCTGAGGTCTCGATCTTCTTCATGGTGAGGCTCCAACTCAGGTAATACAGTAGTACCAACGAACTGTAAACTATTGGGCGTCAGTGTAGGTAGCTCTATGTCATCTTCCTGATATCCCAATGGGCGATTGTTTAACGTCACTTCGATGTCCAACAGTACGTCTTGCAATTCGCTCCAAGTTAAACAACCATTTCCTATTGACTTGTATAGCGCGCGTTTTACCAGTCCAACGAGTCGTTCGAATTGACCGCCCCACCAAGGGGCGCGACTCAAGTTGAACTGCCAATGAATTCTCTCGTTCGCCAATTGGTTGTGGAATTGCTCGTCAGATTGTACCTTCTTTAACCATGTTGATGCAGCTGCAAACGTTCCGGCGTTATCCGAGCAAATCTTCTCCGGTCTTCCTTTCCTTGCTATAAACCGTTTAAGTGTTTGCAGAAATTCACCGGTTTCCATCGTTTTCGTCAGCTCCAAGTAGATTGCTCGACACAGACTACACGCGAACAAGGCCACATACGCTTTCCCTTGTGTTTTCTTTGTCACAAGATATTTTATCGGTCCAGCGAAATCCACACCCACGACTTGGAATGGACGGTTACCTTGGGTACGATCTCGCGGTAAGTTTCCCACAGGTGGTCTAGCGACTCGTTTGGCATGGAATCGTCGACACCCGAAACATTTCTTCATTACCTTTTTCACCAACTGCCTCAGTCTAGGCACCCAATATCGCTCCCTAATTTTTGTCATAGTCAAACCAACTCCCCCGTGTAAGGTGCGCTCGTGAGCATCTTGGACCAACTTTTGGGTGTAGAGATGGTCATCAGGTAAATATATTGGGTATTCTCCTTGCATTCGGCCGTTACAATACATCACTCCATCTCCATCATTTGTCTTCACATTAAGACGTAGCTTGTCCTCGGTTGCTTGGTCATTTTGGTATGATTGAGCTCGTTTTACCCAGAACACGTGTTCGTTGTTTATTTCTTCGGTTATTAACGGTCCCTTGTGACGGTTTTCTTTCCCAGCTCTGCAGTTGAACACGAACCGACGCACCCAGGCGATAACTCTGATAGCTTTCGTCAATGAAAACCTTGCGAGAAGGTTGTCAAACTCATCTTTCGAAACCACAGCTACACTGAAGATTTCTTTCACTGCTTTTGCTTCAGACTCGCTTTCGGGAGTGGCTGTTGTAACAATATCTGGAGGCCATTGATCTGGGTTCACCAACCATTCTGGCTCTTTCCACCAAATGTGAATTCCCGACACTCTGCCTCCTCTGCTTCCCAGGTCCGCTGGGTTATCATTGGTAGGTACGTGGCGCCAGGTGATTTCAGGATGCTCTTGGATCTTCTTGACCCGGTTTGCAACGAATTGCTTATACTGTCCACCACCTCGCAACCACTGTAACGCAACTGTACTATGAAGCCAGCCGAATACACTTATCACTGGGACATCATCGATTGCTTGTTGGACATTAGATACAAGATTCGCGGCCATGTGAGCAGACACAAGTTCCAATCGCGGTATGGTAAGATCCTGTTTTGCTAACCGTGCTTTAGCAGCTACTAAACCAACGTTGACACTGGACTCTTGCTTCGTAATGGCATATACCGCAGCAGAAACTCCTCGTTTACTTGCGTCGCCGAATGCATGTAGCTCGACTTCGTCTACGATTTCCTGATGAACTGGTATGGATCTAGGGACAGTCACCTGTTCAGGGAGTTCTTTCACCCATTGTAGGTATTCACCAGATAGTGGTTCTGAAATCTTCACATCCCATGGTACTTTCTGCTTACAAGCCTCACGGTAGATATGTTTCCCTTTGAGAGTGACAGGCGAAACTAGTCCCAGTGGGTCATATATTCTCGCAAGATTTCGCAAGAGTTCTCTCTTCGTTACAGATGGTTCCATTTTTGGAATCACTATGCTGATTTCATCTTCTTGCTTGTTCCACGGTAGACCAAGCAGGCTTGATTGGGACTGGTTTAATCTGGTTAGCTGCTGTTTTGCAAAGGTTTGATCAGATTCAGCTTCCACTTCATTCACGTCCCGTTCCAGTTTCACTTCACTCTTTTCACATTCAGGTTTCAGTTTGTTGTCTTCTAGCTCTGGTTCGTTCGAGTGCCATTTGTGCAAAGTAAATTTGGCATCTTCGAAGATCTTTATGGCACCTTCCTTTAACTCCATTGCACTGGCAACAGTCGGTTTCCCACTTAACAGATCATCAACATAAAGACTTCGTCGTATGTCAGCAACTAGCTCTGGTTCATGTGCCTCCCAGTTGTCCAGGTGATGGTCCACGACTGCTGCAAGAAGGAAGGGTGAACAGGTTAAGCCAAAAAGTGCTCTTGTAAATCTGAGTGTTTCTATTGGAGAATGTTCAGTTGGCTTCCAGAAGAATCTAAGGGAATCTCTTTCCTCTTTCTTAATTCTCACTTGTAGAAAGGCTTGTTTCAGGTCGCCAGACAATGCAACTGGATGAAACCGCATTCGTGTCAGAACGTTCCACAGCTTGTTCTGGAGCGGAGGTCCGGCATGCAAACACTCGTTAAGACTAGGGGATTGTGGGTTTTCTCTAGCAGATCCATCGTACACCACACGAAGCTTGGTCGATTCCGCGCCTGTTCGCACAACAGGTTTGTGGGGAAGGTAGAACTCCTTGGATGTGGGAGGTTCATCAGCCAACTCCACTATTCCCTCCTCTTTTTGTTGCTCGATTACCCTGTTGTATTCACGAGTGACTTCCATTTTCTCTAATTTGTTATGTAAGCGATCAAGTCGGCGTAGGCTCCCTTGCTTGTTGCTGGGTAATGTTGGGTGGTTCTTCTTCCACAATAATCCAGTTTCATACCATCCCTCGGGATCACGTATAAGCTGTTCACGAAACTCAGCATGCACCGTTTGTTGATCGTGCTCTGGTTTGTCTTCCAAGCCAAGTATATCCAGTCGACACAAAACCTCGTAGTCGGTATGGCTTGTCTGGGTTAACAACATCTTCGAATGATCCAACTCCTTCCCTGACGACATTATAGTCCACCCGAACTTGGTTCTCTCTGCCACAGGCTCTCCTGGTTGACCAACACGAGGTGGTTCTGCTGTCTTTATTGCTGCGTAATCACTTGCCCCGAGAATCAGGTGGACTGGCAAAAATGGTTTGGGATCATTATCCACCATGACGACGCCTTCAAGATGCTTAAATGACTGAATTATCTCTGAATAACGTGGATCGTCAATCGTAAACAGTTTTCCCCGTTCGACCCTCGTAACTTCCACTTGTAATTTCTCTTTACCATCATGCGATGCAACATTGATTGTAGACAAGCTAACTTCACGAGTTGTGGTTCCAAGCATCATCTCAATTTTACGCACTTCCTTCGATTGTGATCGTTTTGGAATTCTGTCTAACAGGGCTGCTGAAGCATAAGAGCTTCCGGCTCCGGTATCCAATAGGGCACGACACTCGATTCCTTCTATGTTAACATTTACTACTGGATACACGACTGGTTTGCTACCTTGATCAGTAGCTAATAGCTTATCTTCCATTATACAGATTGATGTATGGTGTTTTTGCTTGCACCGCTGACACCCAGAAGTGCTTTTACATTCGGAAGCTCGATGTCCTGCTCCTGTGCAGTTAAAGCACAACCGCTTAGTTGCTAGGATTTTCTTCCTCTCGTTCACACCGACAACATGTGTACACTCACGTGACTTGTGATTTCTGTCTTCACAATACACACAACTGTGTTTCTTCGCACCAGTGTTAAAGACTTTGTCTGATCTATCCTTACGCTTCCATTTCTCTTTACTACCCTGCTCATTACATGGATTAATGTCTCTCCATACTTTCATTTCCTTAACAAGTTGTGCCAAGCCCCAATCCTGCCAACCTTCATGCCCTCTCACAATGTCGCTTTTTATACCTTCTGTAGTTAGGGGTAGCCCATCAATATCTGTTCTTATTTTTGGTTCTACGAGTTCTTTCAAATATGCGAACTTTGTTACAGGAGAAAGATCCGTACTGTCAATTTCCGCAATGAATTTGTTCCAAAATGGCAGCCAGTTTTCGTATTTCCCATCAAATTTTGTTATAGAAAGCTTAGGTAGCTTTGTTGAACTCGCTTTCGCTTCACTCTTCGCTTCACGTTTTCCTTCTAATGCCTTTTGGAATTTTAGTTGCTGTTCGAATAGCTCGTGCTCTTGACGTAATTTTTGTTCGTGTTTTTCTTGCTGAAACATGAGTTCCTCTTTGACAGCTTCGGCTTTCTCAGTCGCTTGCGTTTTTCGCACACTTTCATCTTGAATTTGTTGCAGTTCTAAAACCTTTTCGTCGGCAGCCTTTAATTTTTTCTCAATAGCACTTACCCACTCTGTTATTTGCTCCTCGGACTCCTCTTTTACGAATTTTTCTTCCTCGATACTGTCCTTCAAGCTGTGACAAGCATTGACCTTTGCTATTATCGAATTTTCGTGTCTTGATATAGCTTCGCTATTGTTCGTTTTAATCACTTCGTCGCTCCTTTTCACGGCAAACTCGAGTATTCGCAATTTCCCTTCGAGCTCCTTCACTTTTTCTTCCATATCTCCGTTAATTTACAATAAATCGGTAGAATAATCACCAGTTTTAAATGCTTTTTAAGCCAGGTTTCGTTTCACACGGCCGTATGGTTCGTATAAATGTTTATATAACGCCAATATTCACGGGTTCTTGCTCTTGTACGAGCGAAAAAAATCACACAAATCCCGTCCCAGAGGTGCCACTATGTCGAGAATTGCCCCCTGATCGTTCTCAACACAATAAGATTTAGTTTTCTTTATAATATTAAACGTTAGTATCACAAATTCACAATAAAATCTCTCACTAATCACACCACGTTGTCTCAAGTTCTCAACCTAAGTTTTCTTATATAACAACAACTACCGGTATATTCTGGAACTTTCCGACAAGGTTCAGTTCAGACTCGCGCGTCCCACGCGTAAACAAAACATAATATATGACAGTTTTCGACATTGCGAGTTCGACAAGATATTTTACCGTCTTGCTGGTAGCGCTTTTTACCACGAATTCACCCTTCCCGTGATTCACACAAGTGATATCATCTTCGCAAAATTCTTGTGCAGCCATCTTCGTCTTCAGGCAGTGCTTTACAAAATTTGTTGGACGGTTTTCCAAATACTCGGGAACCATTGTGTTGTATTTCCTGTATGATCCACTCAATCGCAAGTTCGCACTTCGGTACGCTTGGTATGTCTCGGGAAGAAACAATGTGACAATTAACACGACGATGCCATACAACGACTTGTCAATAGATCTGGGTAAATAGTCATATTTAAATAGCCGATTCAACGACTCTACCCCATTATTGGTGTTGACGATATTCAGCACTTGAGACTTTCGGAATGCATGACACCATCGAAATGCGCAAGGTATCCATGTTTTTTCGATATAGTTTCTAACACTTTCTTTTGTTTTGTAGACATTTGACTGACGAAACTGAGACAATGCCTCTTCGTATTCACTTTGCGTTGGCGCGCAACCAATTCTTGTCATGGCGTTTTGAAGAAACTCCTGTTCGTTTTCATCAAGGCCATTTCGTCCCGTCCTGGTCCAACGTCGTATTGCCTGTTGACGATGAAAATCGCAGATGTATGCAATCACTCCTGGAAATTGCGCTTCTATTGCTCCAATCTCAGCCGTCGAGAAATCCACCATGAAGTACTTTGGATTCCACTGTGGGTTCCATTGCTGCAAAACCCCCAAGGCTTCTGATATCGAAACTTCATCTTCGTGCTGACACATGAACTCCACTACGACTTTGTATCCAACATTTGTGTGGACACATAAAAAGAATAACGGCATGGCGTATTTTGTTGTTTTATACGTTGCATCCAGTAGAGCGAGATCACTCCCATACTTTAGCAATAATTTTCGTTGCCATTCTTCTTGATGTACAAATAAGAAGTTGCTGCTGTTTTTTAAAGACACAATATTTCCAAAGAAATTCGGTTTACCGTCGTCTTCTGGTCGTAGGAGGTAGTTTGTTGTGGGCGAAGATATCTTCCAGTTTGGTATTTTCCTGATAAGACATTCCTGATCATCACCACAATATTTTTGAGACGCAATTGCTTTCCCAACGTGAGTCCTTAGGTCTTTGGAACTTGGATAGTATTTTCGATTGGTCTTTTTTGGCAACCTGTTACCAGGGACAACAGAACATAACTCCTTCAACACAAATTCGTCAAGACATCTTTTTATTTCCTTGATGCTAGTAACATTTTTTTTTACCAATTCGTAGATCCTAGCAATTATTCTCTTATCGACGATTTGATTCACGCATGCATCTTCGCCTACAGGATGTCCACAGTGATCTTTACAAACGGGAATCTTGATATAATACCGGAAAGATGTATTCAAAACATGGTCCCTTTTCAGCTTTTCTTTTAGTGTCTCAACCATTTTTTGCTTGGCGATTCTGATTTGGGTAGAAGACGAGATGTTGTTGGGAAGTTCGAAGTCATTGAATACTTTGATTTGCCATACTTGAATCATGGCCGGGCAGTTTAGTTTACGCGTTCCCTGTATCATAATCCGGCGATTTCTTGCATAATTGTGCTCGTTTTCTGGTATTCTTTTCCAACTACCTCGTGCATCCTACAAAATACCCAAGGCGAAAGGTACGTAAATGTGATTGGAATTAACTGTAATACTAATGCCTAGATTTTGTAGAAGTGATAATGAAATTTACTTACTGTAGCTTATTTTACTTATCTTACCTTTTCAGAGCCGTGTACACAATGACGAGTTTCTGTCCCCACTATGGTAAATGGTTTTCCGAACATTGAGATTGGCACTTTCCCTCTGTTGTGTTCAAAGATGAGATTTTCTAGAAGTATTTTGCAATACATTTTCATAAAAAGACTGTATACTTTCAGAGTGTTATTCACCTTTGCACCTTGTATTTTGCCATATTGAATATGAAAAATAATATTGTGTATGAATTATAATTAAACAACATATAATTTTGTTCACTTTGGTCAGGTTTGATGTATCTTCACGTGTCATCATCATCAAGCGCAGGGGGGCAGCATCTCGAAAAAGGGCACTTTCAATAGTTAGAATACCACCTCTCCTCAAATAAAGAACAACAAAGGGCAGGGTGGGGGGAGCACCTACACCATGGTTCCGGCGCCCTTGGCTATACTCCTCACATTAGGGGCTCAGATTTGAAGCTCAATATTTTCGCCAATAAAGCTATAGAGAAGTACTTGTACATACCTGTATTTGAGAATCGTTTATGACCTTTATCTTTAAAATGTGCTTATTTTGTGACGAAGCAAGTAGAGCTAATGGACAGGTATTTTTCGATAATATCTTCATAATTATCGTCAGTAAACCCGTAACAGTAGGATCCAATCACCTTAAAATCCTTCAAAGCGCCTTGCAGAAAACTTATTTCTTCGTTTACTATGTTTTGTAACCGTGCGCTTGCCATATTTATGCCTATATTTATATTTATACCTGCCTAAATTCCCTCGATCGTCGAACCGGTAAATATATTTAAATATTTCCCGCAATATTTTAAAGTTCCCGCAATTACCGCAATTATAATGAATGCGTGCTGACCGAAAAGATCGCTAATAGCATTTATCCGCGTTGCAAAGTTACTGCGGGCGCCCTCAAAGAACGCCCGTGATGTAGTCAGACCCTAATTAATCTCACCTGTTACTCTAAGCATGAGATGTAGTTCATCAAGAATAATATTTTCTAACTGCATGTCTATCAAGGGCTGATGAACACAAGACAATTTCTGTTCCAGTGCACACTTCTTGATTTCAGTTAGGGTTTTTTTAATGCGAATACCGTTGTATCGCTACCTCAGCATCACAATATTCGAAACGCTGGATTGGAATTTGGATTTTCTGTTCCGTCAATTAAATTAAAATAGGGTGGAGCTTCAGTGAGAATTGTAAATTGTAATTTTTGTATCAGATACATGTGTTGAATTAAAATAAACAAAATGACTCAAGCATACCCAGAAGAATTAAAGAGGAGAGTGGTTTATTTGATAACGGTAGGCTGTAAGATTAAAGACATAGCAAATATTCTTCACGTGGGCGAAGCATTTGTCAAGAAAATTAAGCGGCTATTCGTTACAAGTCAGTCAATTTTGTTTTGACCACCCATTTTAATTTCATTGATGGAACAGAAAATCCAAAATGCAATGAACAATCTGAGACTTCTGACAAATATCAAGACTCAAGAGTCGCCGGTTTTCGCCGTAATGCCTAATGGGAATTTGTGCAGCTTGTGCTCCAAACTTGTGAAACTCCCAAAGCAACAAACAAGTAATATTGTGTACACATACAGTACTACAGGTGAGTTTGGGACAATGGAGTAATATGTGCAGTGCTTATTATTGCATTAAATAGCATTGCGCCCTACAGTACTTCCTCTTTTTTTTTCACAAACACCAGATAATTTAACTTGTCAGGGAGAGAGTCTTGCAATCTAATGGATTAAGCAAACAATCTGCCAATGTGTCTTACTAACCCACATTAAACTCCAGAGCTTCCCCATTGACAAGTAAATCGCCTGGTGTTTGTAACAAAATCAAGTAGGGTGCATTGTGGCTTAATGCGTTAAGCAGCAATGCATCCAAATACACCCTACTTTATTCTTTTACTCTGTCTATGGCAGGTGATTTTACCAATCAATGGGTTTTGCGCTCTCATGTGTTAAACTATTGAACCATAAGAAATTTGGAAAGGACAGGGTTTACAGGCTTTGAAATACTTGTATAGTGTAACTGTACATGACCTTTTGCTCTTGTGTATTTCACACCATATACACGAATGATCAGAAGTTGCTCCCTTCATTCCGAGAAAAAGTAGCAGAACTATAATTTAATATAAAATTTCAAAATGACATGATAAAATATAACCATAATCATGCACAAACCCCCAACACTGTTCCAGTTCACACCCCCAGTTCAATTCACACTTGAGGTAACTTTAACAAAAAATCAAATATTTTTGGTTACAAAACAGTGTTGGGTTTTGATTAAATATTGATCAAGTTGTAATTACCTTATAGTCACCACCTAAAAATATCTCAACAGGAATATCAGTTTCACACACAGTGAGTTTTCCTTCTCTTATGATTCTATTTATGGTTCCAAATAGATCTGAAAAAGAATTCTTTAAAAGTTCATAGCACTCATGTCCCTTGACAACTGCAACAGTGTGGCTTCCTATTAATAAATGAAATATGTAGTCACAAGTAAGACATAACAGAATCAGACTTATTCGGTGACATGAAAACTATAAAATTTTGGCTTGAGAAATTCTATGCACAATAATTACCTTTTGACGACATAACATCATCACTATCTAGCAGTGAAAAGGACATTACAACAAAGCTAGTAATCCAAGTCATTTGGGCACCATCGCCACTAATCTTTATGCGCAGTTTATCATCTGTGTTCACCAACTGTTGAAGATCAATCTGTAGAAGAGAAAGACTGAAATGTTAAGCAAGAGCTAACCCAAATCAAACCTGGCAGCCACCCGGGTTTGAATCCAGTTCAAACACTTTCAAACAATTTCTCTGAAACTTTTAGAGTGAATCTGTAAGGGTTAGGCTAGCTTTGAACAAGACTAGACACAGTGCCATGCCGAGGGGCATGTCTTGGGGGTGGGCAACAAAAATTTGGGGCCCCATTACATGTAGAATCGCTTTGATTTTTCATTAAAGTGTTGGCGAGCAGGGGCAGGCACCATATTTTCCCCTTATAATATATGCTTAGACCCCCCTTCCCCACACTCTCCCAGTTCACACATCACCACTGTACATGTCCAATTATAGAATGACCACTTACCGGTTTCTTTATTGTGTTTTTTATCTCGGTCTCAAAATCCAGCTGTGCGCCCTCCTCTTCCTCGGATATTCGGCTTATATGGCATAAACTATTCAGATCTGTTTTACATTGTTTTACCAAATAAGAGCGTGGTAGGTCTTCTCCGTCAGCTGTCATGGACAATTCGTGATATGCGGCTTCGCTTATGCCAAATTTGTCAGTGATAAATAAAACCTGTTGCACTTTCTCTTTTTCTTCATCGCTCAGTTCTTTGTATGACTTCTTTCCTCCATCTTCTGTCTGATATTCAATTGTATGAAACCTGCCAGTGTCATCTTTGAATTCCACTGAACTGAGCTGAAGACCAAAAGTTCCAGCAAACCATAGTGCTTTATCAACATATGTTTTCAGTTCTCGTATCTTTTGTCTTTTCTTCCTCTCTTTAACCTCATCAATGTTCTTTCCACAATTTTTAAATCCTTCTTGCTCTGAAATCCTGTCAAAGTATTCCCACAAATGGCACATTTAATTTGTCTCCAATGGTTTTATAGTAATTTTAGTTGCCATTTTTGCTTTTATTTTTGGCGAAATCCGCTTGCGCAACATGGGCTCAATGACCGGAATAGTTGGCGATGGAATTTTGCTTCTGAATAAACTACGTGCATATGCATATTAGGTAGAAATAAATCATATCAGGAGAAAATTCCAAGCAATGCAGTAGTGATATCTACTTTGTATTGATAGAAATGGTGGTCAAGTTGAAGACATAAGTGCATAATCTCTTTTTAAAAACTGTGAATGTTAATAATTGCAATAAACATTTTGTAAAACCAGTGCAAGCTGTGACATGTTCATGATTGTTTTTTCTTTCGTTATACACTGCTCTTATTAGGCTCAAAGATGAAGTATGCGATTGTGACTAACATAGTGATAATGCAAAG